AATTTTAATTTTTTTATATTTAATTTATCATTTAAAAGAATCATATTTCTAAAAAACACGATTTTTTGATAAAATTTTTTATATAGATTTTTCATTAAATTATTCTCATAAAGTAAATAAAAATCTAACATTTTAAGTTATAAAGAATATTTTACTGCAATTACCTTAACTTAATTATTTATTGTAGTGAAAAATATTTAATTTTTAAGTAACATTATAAATATTTATAAAAATATTTATGATTAATCAAACATATTTAATCATTTGTAAAAATCATAATTTTTAAAATTTATGATCGTGAGCTACTATATTTTGGGGCATAACTTTTTTTTTTTTTTTTTTTTTTTCCTTTTACCAAAGGCTCTGGAGGTCATTCCTAGATATAGGTAGCCAAAGGACTTTACTGTGCAGACTTCTCTTATGTTAGAATTTAATTATTGTAATTTAAACCATATATTCACAGATTCCATGGATTACTCAAATTCATAGAAAACTATTTGATAGTGACAGGGTGGCCATGGCGGCAAGCAACAAGGGTAAACGTTTTATTTTATCTATCTAAAACGAAATCACACAGATCATTGACCAAATTTTATCTAAAACGAAAAACTACGTACTACATGTAAATCTTATCTGTATTATCGACATCCTCGATCATAAGCTGTTATTGTTGTGAGACTTTAATAATTTACAAATTATTTGGCTTCAATTATAAAGTTTCTGATGCATTAAATAATTTTTAATTATTGATTTTTGTGTTCAATATTTAACCATGATTGAAATAGTTTGAAATTGAACAACTATTTTTTAAAAATTAATTATATCTTAATGTTATTTCATAGACACCAAATTACTTTACCAAATAATTTAAATAGTATTATATATTACAAATTTGTTGAAAATGTTAACTAGGAAACCACAATTCGGACTATAAACAGGTCAAATCACCGTTTTAGTTTTTTTAAAAAATATTTTCATTTACTAATGATACTTTTTAAATATA